GGCGTTCTCTGGTGGGATCGAAAGCGCGCGCAGGGTATACCCACGACTATCCCTACCAGCCGTGAGTCGTGAGGACGGCGGAGAGGGGCGTTTGGACGTCAGGCCCAGAGCTGGTCCGTCCGTCGTCCGGCCGACTCGAGGCATCGGAGCAGCGGATTTCGCGCGAGATATAGATCCATAAACACACGCGTACACGTACGCACACCCACACATACATACCCACATACATGTACAGAGGAGCAGACCGACATATACATACGTACACGCACACATGACACGCACGTCACATACACACATCGTCGCACATACGCCCACACACGCACGCACGCACACACACATATGCACGCACTCGTCACATACTCGGCTCGGCGCACACGTGTACCGTACGTGAGCACACAGTGCGAAGAGGAACGACACATAAGTTCGCGCCGTACACTACGTACACACGCCGACGGCAGCGCATACCACGCGTGTAGGATCCCCGTGTACACGTTCGCGGGTTACGCGAAACGATCGCGCGCACCATCCACGCGTTTTACGGACTCTTACGCACCAGCGCATACGTCGCGACGTCGCCGGAGCAGCCGTTCACTCGCGCGCGCGCGCGCGCGTCTCGCGAATACCGCCGGCTTCTTCGTCACCATACGGTCGCGATTTGCGAATGGATCGACAGCGTTGAGCGGCGGCGATTGAAGTAGCGCGAGTACCGCGGTTGTGTGGTAGTGAGCGGTCGTGATCTCTCGATCCTATACGCGAGAGCGAGCAGCACGTCTACCAGTCAAGCAGCCAGCCAGCCAGCCAGCCAGCCAGCAAACCAGCCAGCCAGCCAGCCAGCCAGCCAGCCAGTCAGTCAACTAAGCAGCTAGCTAGTTCAACGGACAGCTCATCTCAGAGGCGATTCGTTTCGGAGCAGCGTATACTACTACTTTTGACTTTCGAAGAGCAGGCAGACAGGCAAAGGGAAAGAGAGAGAGAGAGAGAGAGAGAGAGTAAAGGTGTAGGAAAGAGAGAATCCCAACGGGCCACGTGCTAACCGCCGGCGAAGGAGCAGCCACGACTGTCGCAGTGAGGAAGAAAAGTAGAGTGTGCAAAGACGTCGACAAATTTGACCGTCCCTGGTTTCACCAGGAAAAGAGATCGCATCAGTGGCGGTGGGGGATGGGTTAGAGAATCGGAGCGAATCTGTAGTCTCTATGGATTACTGGCCGAGTTGACACGCTCACCGGCCGGCGGGAGAGGATCTGAGAGTAGTCTCCCTTGGCGACGATCCACGACGTATGGAACGCTCGGAGAAGTGTGTGATTTTGCGCGGGGAGTTGCGGCTCCCCTGCTAGTTCAACGAATGCGCCAATGACGAGGCACGCGAGCCGACAGTCAAAATTTCGTCGACGCTCATCGGATCTTCAGACGAACTGATATTTAGGAGAGCAAAGAGGGAAGGAGCACAACTGAGACAAGGAAGGAGTAGGGAGAGACGGACGGTCATGGTGCTCATAACTATTACCCTGTTGCGTTGTGACACTTTGTATTACCGTGACTAAAAACTGACCATGCGCTCCTTTTAAAAGTTGAGCGAATCCAAAGGATTCGTAAGGGCTAAGAACATTGATCATAAATTTGGGTGCGAATTTTTGTTAAGAGACGGACTGTCTCTATTGTCCAAGTGTGTTATAAAAACGTGAAAAACGGACTGACCAACTAGTCGAAGGGATGTCACGGAGAAAGCAAGCTCGCCCGAGTCGTGCACACCTCGAAGAGGATCTTGCCCAAGGCACATTGCTGATCAACCCGCTTGCGAACATCCCGAGCGAGAGCAGTAAGTGATAATATTAATACTTTTCATTGTCGGATTAACGCGAACGTGAGATGGAGAAAGAGAGAAAGAGGAGAGATCGCTCTCACATCCCCGACGTGTTGTATTCGCGTACGAATACGTACATGTATTCGTTTGCCTCGACGTAAATGTCCGTATCAGGTTCGTGAGGCTTAGGGAACAACACTCTGAACGTAGGTAAACGTTCCCCGGATGCGAAGGGCTTTCTCTCTTGAGAAATTGAATGTCGCTGTTCACGTTTCGCGAAGACAATTTCCGAGCATATTTCGCGTCGTTCTCCTGATATCCCTCCAACACGGAGCTGCCGATGTTGTCGCGTCGTTCCGCGATGCAGCGGGCCAAAACGCGGTGTAGCGCGATGAGTGACGTCCGGCCCGACGATCTGTCGGTGTTTCTTGTAAAAACGCACGCGTCAATACGACGTAATGGTGCAGCGACCTCGCGACGTATTCAGTGGCGGCCAGAATTCCTTTTGGATTTCATCATCGCAACGTCACGGGTCACGTTAATGACGTAACCTCGAATGAGAAGGCGCTTCTGCCCGAGCCTAGCCGAGAATTTCGGGATGGAAACGTAACGAGCTGATGGTACCTGACTGGTTTCAAACGCGATAAGAGAACGCACCCCTGGAGAGCCGCGCTTTATGATATCGACGATTTAGTCGAGCGAAGATACCGGCAGTCACTGTGTTTCGATGCGCGAGAGAAACGTAGCGGCGCGATTATTAGAGTAACCCGTCGCGCTTATATCAACGTATCATTTCGTAATTAGCGCGATCAGTGACACGCAGAACGACAACACACATTGCGGTGGCTCGGCTCCCATCGGGAGCAAGCTTCAGTCTAGAATTGAATCTTCAGTCGAACGGTCGTCGTGATCTGTGCTCCTTCGACAACATCCGGGCGACATTCACATCACCTCTCTGCCGTGGAAAGCGACCGGTTTATATCGGGCCAAGAGTCATGGAAAATCGAGGTGAGCTTTCCCACCGAGCCGATTAATTTTTCGCGAATCGACGACCGTCGGCTAGAACGGCCAAGTGTCCTGAAATCCACCCCGAGGTTCTCCGCGAGCAAGCACCGCTACGCTCGACCCGCCAAATGCAGGCCGTGAAACCCGATTCACCGAGCACTTTCCGTCGGACTGAAACGCGCCTGCCTTCTCTCGCGGATCCCACCTCGATAAACCGACCTGTCTCGGCTCGACATCAAAGCGACCTGAGAAACGGCCGATAAAACCTTTCCATCTCGTCGGGCCCGACGTCGGCCGTGGGCTCTCTTATTCGCCGTGTTTTGGGATACGATTAAATCGCACGACGATTGCGTCCCTCGTCGATTCGTCGAGCTCTACGCCGCGTTAATTTCGTTTTTCCATGGAGCAATCCTTTCGCGTACACAGCGCGAATTTAGAGACTCCTCTCTTTCTCTCTCTCTCTCTCTCTCTCTCTCTCTTTCACTCTATCATTCAAACAGTGAAGTCGACGCGTAACACGTTGTAACATTGAGCGAATTTTCACTCCACGAGTGACGACAGTGTGACTGTCGTACTTTCGTCGAAACGCCGGGAATCAGACTTATTCGACCATAAAATTCGATCTTGAAAAGTTCAAAGATGACGTCACATACAGATAATAAGGTGTAACAATATATGATACAACAATACTAGGAATATTCCGTTGTCAGATCGTTCTTGAAAGATCACAAACAATAACAGCGACTGCTCGGCCGATGAATAATTCGTCTTCATTTCGTGCAATAAAAACAATTGAAATTAATAATGGAATTAATGTGAATATTAAAATCAAGTGTAGAATTAATAACAATAAATTTGTGAAATTAATAAAATTCAACTTGGGAATCGAACCCAACGTTCCGACCCAATAATTTGCGTAAGGCGTAGCTGAACTCAACTGAAAAGTCTACAAAGATTGCCTTTGTGTCTGCGGTTAACGTGCTTGCCGAACAGACACATCCCCGAATTCGCAAATAGACCGTGTTCGAGCGTAGCGACCGTCGTGTCACGAACATGGAAAATTTAAGGCGTGATGATTTCCTTTCAAGAAGCATAAACTTTACCGGCGACATTTACATTTCCCCCCTCTGCCATTAAGCATAAGCAGTACTTGCCTGACCGTGTGGATAAGAACTCGTTACTGTAAACCGCTCGGTTTTACTGAATCCACGTACCTGACATCCGCGTGTATCTATTTGGTACGTGTTCCATTCGCAGAGATCACGTCCAAACAGGAAACGTTCAATGCTAGACACGCTTAGCCTTGCCGATAAAAACGGACATTTCGTAGAAACCCGTGGAAAATATTTTCCCCGAGCGACACGAGATATTTCGTGCGCGGCTACGTGAAAAAAATATATATAGATGTATGTGTGTATATATACATATATATATATTTAACGGTAAACGCGTGACGAATGAAATTTCGGTAACGCCGCCATATCCGGAGGCAACGAACCGATGGTCTTAATTTGTTCAACTTTTTCAATTCGGGCAAGTTTGTCTACCGTTCCCTTCGTGCTTTTCTCTCTCTCTCTCTCTCTCTCTCTCTCTCTCTCTCTCTCTCTCTCTCTCTATCTATCTATCTGCTTCTCGCCCTCCTTCCATCTTTTTCTCTCTTCGAATAGTTCGGAACATCTCGAAAACAACATAAAGCGTGTCTCATTCCTGGCGCGTAAGCGTGACAGGCTGACTTCTTGCTGAGTCAGACGCAAAATCGAAAATGCTCCTGCGGTATTCGCAGAGTCGCGAAGTTTGTATATAAATATTTCCTGCTTATTAGTTATATCGCGTCCACACATCGTGCTATCGCGGGTCTGACACGCGAGCTACGCGTGACGATCCGCTGACACAGCTTCGAATGCCGAAGTGGTCGAGCAGATTCTACGCGCCGCAGGTACTCGCGAACGCGTTCAAGAGGATCAATGATAGACCGTGCAAATTATTCGCCGCTTCTCGCGCCAGCTTCGCGCGGGCCGACCAAATCTCTCTGCACCGCGCGAGAAACACGCAAAATGAAGCCTTCGTTAATCTCGACAAATGACTTTGGTGCTCTTCCGTTCGATCAACTGTCTCGCGGGCACACTTTTGTATGTCCCTCTGCGAAATCAAGTTTATCGATACAGACTCGAATCTATCGCGTAAATCATAGGACTTCAACTTTATTTTATACGTAAACATTTGCGCGACGTTATGTGGAAATGGATGGTTCAGATGAAATCATGCGATTGTCTGATCTCGTGGTGCGAAACTCTTTCTCCCTCCAATTTTCCGTCGACCAAAAGAAAAAGTCGCTATCACCGGCAGTAGTGTTTTATCACGAGGTGATCTCGGAAGAGCGATACACCCCGCTCGTAAGTTACTCGCCCCGTTTGGGGCTCGGACGAAGGTTAAGGATATTGGAGTGACGCCAGAATTCGCGTCGGCCCGCGATAGGATCATAGATTGTTCGCGGGCGTGCAAAATCGCGGATCTCCGTCGCGCGCGCTTTGAACGCCGGCCTAGTAGCCGGGCGACTTTTCGAACGCGGAGGGGGGGGGGGGGGATTTCCG